CCTGCCCTCCTCCTCCTCCTCCTCCTCCGCCGTCCTAGTTCCAATCCGTATTCCACTGTCAGTACCAGTGGCAGGTCCGTGTGCCCCCCCCCCAAATCCCTTCGCACTACTCTTCTAGCACCTGTGCAGGCACAGAGTCGTGTCCTAGACAGTGGTGTGGCCCCAAAGCGGGCGGTGGGGGGAGGGCAGCCCACGGCCATTGACAAGTAGCTGTCAAGCAGTGGAAGGAAAGCGAAGAGGAGACCGGGCAGGGGCAAAAAGAGAGAAGGAGAACTGTCAGAGAGAGAAGCAGAAGCGCGCATCAGGACCACTTTTTGACACAAGTAACTTTGGCTGGAAACCCTTGCCCCACGGCCATAGCATGGGATTGGGTGGTGGTGGGCTGGGAAGGGGCACATTACAATGTGCCAAATCAAGCACAAAAATCCAATATCCTGCAATGAAATACAATTACAGGGTGCACAACCACAGCACACACACACACACACACACAACTCTGATTGGGGGGGCACACACCTAATTGGTAAAAGCCAATACGGTACACAGTATCAGTTTTCTTGCAGTGTAGAGGGAGGGGGGATGGTGGGATACATTGATTGTTACATGATGATGAAGTGCTATCGATGTCTGTTTCGTTTGACTGATTTCCAGATTCGATGGAAAAACGAGAGACGCCCTCGACGGGCACTTGCTTCTCCTTCCGTCGCTCCCTCTCTCTGGCTCTCTGTCTCTGTGTGTGTGTTTTGGAATTTAAGGCCATGGCCAAGACACTGAACTGCAAGTGCCGCCCAGGTCTTTAAAAGTGTTGTAAGAAAACCAAGAGACGAGGCATTCAAATGTGCGCCTATGCTGCCTGCTGACTGCTGCCTGCTGCTGCTCGATGACTTCACACATTCCTCAAAGCCAGAAAGACAGAAAGAGAGAGCCATAACAAGAACTTCCTTAGAGCAGCCACTACCTCTGCTGCCCCTCACCCTGCCATGGAGCGGTGTGTCTAAGCCATGTGAAGAACCTAAACGTCGAACCAGTTTTTGGTGAATGAAAATCAACAAACCAAAAAGTTGCACAAACCCCAAAAGCAGCAAAGAACCAGAAAGGAAGGCTTGAGCGATGAATGATCGAAGGGTTGGATACCCTAGAGCAACAACCATCGTTCCAGACATATCGATGCATATGCTGATGTAAATAATGATTACATATATGCCCTTTGTGAACTATATTCTGAGTGGGATCAAAATCATCATTCCCTCCCTCGCCAATGGGTATCAAATGAAGTACAGCAGGCACAAGAAGAAGCAGAAGCTGGGTGAGGAATCAAGACAAGAGTGGAGCACGGGGAGAGCGCAGCTAAAATATAATAAAAAGAAATTAAAATAAAATTCAAAAATGTGCAAAACGAAGGCTTACACTCTGATAGCGTCGACGAGAGGCACAGGAAGAGAGAAACGGAGCGGGTGAGCGAGAGAGAGAGAGAGAGAGAGCAGTGGGAAACGAGAATGAGAAATGCTGCATGCCAGGCCACAGTCAGCGGCGGCAGAGGCAGAGCCACGGGACAGGGACCAGAGGCCAGCGACGGGAATGACTGCAGCAGAAGAATCTCCATGGAACCTGTTGGACCAGTCACATAAACACACATACACTCACGCTCTGTGTGTGGGGGGGGGAGAGAGGGAATGCCACCAACGTGTTTGTGCCTGTCCAGAGGACCAGGATAAAAGGCAAGCGAGTTGTGCTGCCTCTCTCTGCCTCTCTCTCTCTCTCTGACTCTCTTGCTCTTTCTCTCCCGCTCTGGCTTTAAGGATTTCAAGTGTAAAACGCTGTCGCTTGTGGAATGTGCTCAAACACACACACTCACACACACACACACACACACAAACACAAACATTTGGCCATATTTTTGCTTGCACTAAATCAAGCGTTTAAACGAAATTTGAGTTGGCCCCAAAAAAACAGAAAAAAAAAACAGGACCAGACTTGGGATTGCACTCATAACAGATCGGAGGGGGAGAAGAAAAAAAAACTGTATCCCCTCTTTGTCTCTCTTTACCACTCTTATAATTTATAGATGCCGTTTGCCTAAATTCGTTTAATTTCATCTTTCACACACACACACACAGACGACCTCAGGGAGGGGGAATGGAGTGGAGTGTCTTACCTGTGGATCCAAAAAGAGACAAAGACAAAGCTACTTAAAGGGACTTCGCTTCGGTGTTGGTTACCCTTTAAGAGGGGGAGTATGATGATGATTTTTAGTAAACAAAAATAATATATTTGTTTCTAAAGATAATCCCACTAAAACTTGATAAATCAAATAAAATCGAATGACCATAAATCTTTCTGCAAGGGTATCCAACTGTTCGACCATCGCAGCTAAGTAAACTCTTTTGATTTTTTTTTTGCTGTGTCCGGAATGGAGAATGGGGCTCTCCTCTCATCGAACACCACCGATCGTTCCTGCCTTATAATTTATAACTTTATCTAAACGATGTGGTGTGGTGTTTAATTTTCGACTTTACCTTTTCCCTTGCTCTTGTGTTTCGTTTCGTTTCGTTTTTGGTGGAACTGTTGTTTCCGCCTCGCATGACTCACTTTTTTTTGTTTGCTGTTTTTGGGGGGTCCTCTCCTCTCGTTCCCTTCACTGCTGTGGCTTTCTGGCCTCTTCCCAATTTGAATAGGATTCCATTCCGTTGGAAGAGTGATCCGATCCACTTCGTGATGAACATATCAGCAGAGGCATAGAAACAAAGATAGTGGCAGAGGAGAACAAGGCCAAATGAGGGCGGACGTTTGTCGCTCAGCTGGAAGTCTGACCACCATGAAGTCCCCTGACCCCTGCCCCCCTCCCTGCCACATGGCTTGTTAATGAAGAAATAGATACCACGACGCAGTGGGAGGGAGAGAGAGTGAGGCAAAGAGAGACTCAGGTATTTAACAGCGCCCGGGGGGGTGGAGGTGTTGCCTGGAATGAGTGAAAGTTCCATGCAAAAAAAGAGTCGTGCAGTGCCCATGCCCTGCCGCACCGCACCGCACCACTGCAGCAAGCAACACCACGTGCAGTCTCTCTCTCTCTCTCTGGCTGCCTCTAATGCGAATGGTGTGAAATAACAGTTACAGAGAGAACAAAAAAGAGAGAGAGAGAGAGAGTGGCCCGGGTGAGTTCATTAAACCGATCTTTAATGGAATGCGAAATAAAATTAGAACCCATTCCAGCCAAGCCATCAATTAAGAGCGAACATGCAAATTCGTTTTCCAGCGGCAACGCGAATAGAATCGGAGAGGCAGTCCACCCATTGGCAGCGGAATGGATAGAATTTCGTCGAATATTCAAATTGCACATCCAGATGCGCAGATTACAATGGAAATGTAAAAATGTCAATAAATATTTAAAAGTATTTAGATGAATCATCAAAGGGAAGGGCGACTGCAATCCGCTGAGTGGCAGAATATAAACAGTTAAATATTTTATGGCCTTCTCATCTCGAAACACGATACCTGCAACGGAATCTGGATAATTTGATATTTTATATACAACGCTCTAATTTTTTTCTAATCCCATTCTTATATTTTTTACAGGACGACCCTGCACTATGGATAAAAAGTCGAAAATCCCAAATATTAACTGAAAGTGTAAAGAGAGAGAAAAAGCAAGTCAAGGTATGTAGATTAATTGAATTTAATGAAATTATTGAAAACTATCTGACTGAAGATGAAGCGATAGCAATTTAAAAGAAAGAGACCAATTTATTGCTTATGTAAGCAACGACTTACCGAAATGCAATCGCATGTTGGAGCGATTCAAATAAAATCGCAATCATTCAATCAATCAACAAATCAAATATATTTTTTAGGTTCAAACATTTTTTAAAGTATTTTAATCATAATTAATGATTTAAGCGATTTTTTTTATTATAAATACGAATAAATGGGGTTTTTGTTGGTATGGGGGCTGGAAGAAGACGTGTTCCAAAAGATTCAATTTTTTTTTATTATTCTACTTTAGTCTAACGAACATTCGTGCCAATTTGTTGAGGTCTAGCTTTATTTTTAGAAATAATGACAAAAATGTCCCATAGTGCACAGTGCGAACATAAGTTTTGCCGGTTTCGACCGAGAGAGTATTTAATTTGCTTTCGCAGCTTCGTTAACAGTCAAGCGACAGATACACTTTACTGTTCATACTTTAATATTCAAGCAATAGCTAATAATAAATTTGATTTGATTAAGCTGTTTGAATTTGGAACATATTTTATTTGTTCTGCTTCACAGCTGCTTTAATAAATCGATCTGTTATTTAACATTAACATATAATTTATAATTTTGTTGTTGTTTGCTGTGCAAATTTGATTTCCCCCAAGATCGTGGGAGTTTAGAGTTGGAAAGAGACAAATATATCATGTATATACACATGCATGTTTACAGAACATGCTGCGCTGCAGCAAATGTATATGCAGCATGCTGCCAGCCATAGGTACATGCTGCTACATTTTTTGTGTCTCAGAGACACGGTGTACGGATGGCTCGCAATTGAAACGCAGAAATGAGTCCGGCGCAACCAAAGTTCAACTTACCATTGAGCGTCTCATTTATTCGTCAAAAAGTGAGCTCCAATTTGAATTCCAATACCCGTTTGTGCACAATTGTGGTATCACAACAATTTTCGCCGCGAACCATGCAACAACAAGATATTGTCGAATTTGTTTCTGAATTCAGAAAATTCCGTTGATATCCCACAAAAATATCTATATTTGCCGCCACCAAAAAAATATTTAAAAAATAGTTCTTATCCGTGGCCCGTTCCGTGTTGTTCGCCGTGCGCGCAATACCCCGAATATATAATGAAAAATCGCGTCCGTATTTCGATCCGTAGATATCGCTGCCAGACCCCATATCACGCCGCTATATAAATAATGCAAGTGCAGTCCGTCGCCCCGAGGGCACTACGGGAAATCTATTTTCGCCAAATGCAATTAAACAAAGGCAAAAACGCTGAAACAAAATAAAAGCAAAAGCAAACGCAAATTAATCGCATATCAGTGAATTGTGCTACCAGCAATCTTAGTGCTATATAGATCATATATACATATATGTACGGTTATGTCATGGAAAATATTTGAGTGAATTTTGAAAATTTCCTAACGGATTCATTGGGCATATTCCTAATAACAGTTAAAATCAAGTAAAAGCTACAAAAAAAAAAACAACATTGGAAACGAGTGTAATTTTTTGCAAACTTCAGCGCTGGCAGCAGAGAGAAACTTGTAGCCCCCCGATTCGCCCGATTCGCCCACTTTTGGCGTCTCTTCTTTTATAGCCCTCACGCGTGTTTTGTTTGTGCTCGTGTCGGTGTGTGCGTGCTGCTGTGCTTGTCCGGTTGTGTGTGTGTTAGCCGGCAGTTTGTGAGAGTGTGTTAGTGGGGAAAACAGCTGTTTGTTGCAAACGTTACGCTCTCTCTCTTTACGTGGCTATCCCCTCTTGCGCTCTGGCTGTCTGTCCCCCCACCCATTGAGTGCAAAGCAGTGCAAAAAGAAAAGAGAAAAGCTCATCCATCCATACGAAAAGAAAAAAAAACAGCATCCACATCTTAATATGGCGGCAGCGATATCCTCCAGAAGGAACATCTGTGTGACGCAGCTCCTGCTCTTTGCCCTGCTCTGTGGCGGCATTGTGGGTCTCGTCAGTGGCAAGCATTTGGGCGCCACCGGGGGCGACCACCAGCACCAGCATCAGCACAGTGCCGCAACGCACCACCGGCGACGCCTGCAGCGGGACTCGCGCGCCAAGGATACAGCGCAGCAGCAGTGTGAGGCCGTCAAGGGGTATTTCGAGTCGATCAACATTCATTCGAGTGGAGTCCACAATGAAAAAGGTGCGTAAGTCCCTTTTACCTACCATATGCAATGCAATCAAAATAAAGGGAATACAATGCACAATACACAAGTTCCCAAAAGGAGTTCCAAAAGCGTCTCAAATGCTGCCAGAGACTGCTCTCTGTCTGAACAAATCGTAAATTCTCCAATCAAGTAAAGGCACTTGTCAGCCAAAGTTTTGGCGTCCTGCAACTGCAATTACTCTTGTGTCTCTCATCTTGAATAAGCCGCATCCCCCCGTCCCAGTCGCAGGGTTTGCCATGAGGCAAATGCAAATCCATTGAACCGGCCATCAAGTGGGGGGCTCGAAACTATAGTATAGAACGAGTGGCCCCGTTTGGCAATTAGAAGAGCATTGAGCAACGCCTCGGACAAAGTTTTTGGTGGCATCTCAGGTTCATTACACCGCGCAGATACAGCTACACAAATACATGGATAATTGCTGGTGTTTGGAGGGTGGACGGTGACGTTGGTGGCGTCATTTGTTATTCTGATTTCTGTCAATAGGCGGGGGGTGACACCGTGGTATCAAGTGGCACGCATCTAAAAAACAAAACAAAAAAAAAGAAACTGTGTGAAGGCTGTGCCGTATATTTATAAGCAAAGATATATCGGTGGAGATACATCCATAAGATGCAGAGATACTCGGTCGATGGCATAATTTTGTGTTTATGCAAAGTCAAAAATAAAACCAAACAAAACGAAACAAAAAGATAAGATCTGAAACACCCAAAAATAAAAAGGAGAGCAAAAAATGTATAAACATCAGAGTATCGTATCAGTGTACATATCTCCGTATCTGTATCCGAGGAATGCCAATGCACACACAGAGACGAGACGAACTGGAACTGCCGAGATACTCTCTGTGGCGCTGTGTGGCGTGTAATTGAGTGAAAAATAATTATTATTGATTAACCGACCTTGACTTGGTCTTTACGCACAATTACAACACACGGACAGACACCCGTGAAATACAAAATACAAATGTATCTGTAGCGGAGACTAACACAAGTACAGGGCGGGAGGGAAGGGGAAATGATGTTGCAAGTTATTCCTCGTTTCATACCTGTATCCGAGAAGAGTTCTTCTTTCCCACACGAGCAGGTAGCAGGAGTATCTGTATCTACTGCCGCCCGCATGGCTGTGAAAGATACATGTGGAAGTTGGAAAGAATTTCAATTTGGCTAATGCCTCCGGTAGACTACGCCACCGGCGGACACATACTATGTACATATGTATGTATTTTCGATCCGCACCTAGAGTACGCGCGTACGAGTTCGAGTGCGAGTGCGTGTATCTTTATGGCTGTATCTGTATCTTGTGGCTGTTGCTTTCGACATTTATTTACTGTTTACATAGTTTTACTTTATTTATGTATCTGTATCTGGCATCTCTCTATATGTATGTATCTCTTCTTTTTTTTGGTTGTCTTTTTTGTGGGTGTTTGCGTTACACTTTTTTATGTGCTGTTTGTGATGCTAATCTCATGTCGAGTGTCATGCATACGATAAATGTTGTGTGTGCACACGCACTCCTCCTCCAGGTAGAGGTAGAGGTGCCTTCTCCAACAGGCATGAAGGCGCTCCTCCATAAAATTCAATTTTAATTTAATTGCGCGCATCCCCCGACTGCTAATTGAGTTGTATGTATCTTGGCCTCCAAATAAACAAAGAGCTCCAAATAGATGCAGAACCAAGCTCCACATTAACATTAACATTAACACGAGACGTTGGCCCCAACAGGAAGTACTGTGTGGCATGTAGCTACAGTTCACAGTCTACAGTATCTAATCATATAGCTGTAGCTATATCTCTGTGTATCTGTATCTGCACCTCTACTTCTACCTGTGTGTATGTCGTCTTGTTACTAAATATTTAAGCAACTCGCAACTCAACATCAAATTAGAGCAAACTATGAGATACCGCCGTATCTACAGCTACATATGTACGTGATGCGTGTGTGTGTGTGTGTGTGTGTGTATGCGGATAGATAAGCGAAAAGTGCAAATAGAGTAGGAACTCTGACTGACAGAGTTTTTCTTTGGCTTGCAGATTTCGAAACCACTTCCTTTGACTATCTTCTGGGCGGAAAGATACCCATTGAAAGTATCTATGAGATCGCTGAATGAATGAATGCCAATTAAAAGTTTCAATGACATTTGGAAGCGATGGAAATCCATCAAAAGTGGTAGCTAAAAATATAAAAAAAAAACTCTCAGACCGTAGGATCGTAAACCGAAAAACTTGTTTCTTGTTTCGCTTAAACCACAGTTAAAGATACACGCAATAAGTATCTGTGAGATAATTAAAAGAGTTTATAGATACTCGTATTCGGGGGCACTTCTTTAAGCTGCACTCGTATCTCTTCGATTCATCAATTAACTTGCAGTTGAAGTTCTTTTTTCAGTTGGAGTTTAATTGCTGGCTTTTTCTCCTTCTCTTTCCATTTCTCCCTCTGGTGATCAATTAAACTCCCAGACAGACGAAAAACTTAATTGATTTGAGACTCGAGACTGGACTTGGACTGAAGGAGACTCGAGAAAAACTAATTACGAATTACGAATGGGTTTTAAGTAGTTTACAAATGCTCTTTGCGTCCAGTCGCTGCAGTCGTTGCGTTTTAATAGTTGGAAATGAGGTTTTCTACTTCGTCTACACTTGGATTCGCTCTCTACCATTTTCCATTTCCCATTAATACTTTTCCCACGCATAGATCCAATTGGGTGGCAAAGTTCTGAATGAATAGAAACAGATAGGCATAGAGTACGAGTGGGGAGGTTCATTAGTGGCGATTAATCGGGTGTGATAGGCATTACTTAGAATAAAGAATGGAATAAACAGCGGTTTGGGTCTGTCAAAGTATCTGAAAAGTATAAAAAACGCAGTGGAAGAAACTAACAGTGGAATGTGTAGCTAAAAGTATCTTTAATGCTTGCAAAAACAATGGAATATATCTCTAAGTGCCCGAAGTAGGGGAATGGATATGAAAAGCAGTGGAATATTTACTTAAAATTATCTTATATGAAAGTGATTAATTTCTAGCAAGTCAAGGGAAAAATAAATTCATAAAAGCATGGAATATTGATTCCGTTCTGCATTCATGAATTCATTCAATCAGTCTTCCCAATGAATTTCTAATTGATTGCCAATCGTCTGCATTTATTCCTGAAAATCAAACTTAATCTACGCTTTTGCTCTCCATTTATTGAAATGAACTTCAGCTCCACAAAAGATACACGCATTCTTCCCCTTGATAGCCCAGACCAGATACTTGCTAATATGCTCCCAAAGATACTTTGCTCTGGAAAGCAGCAATTGTTTGTTGTTTCTATTGGATTTTATGGCAAATATGTATCTTCCATCCGCATGCCTTAACAAAAATTACAACATGCCCACCCTCAAAAAAAAACCGAAACCATTTGCCGCATTTTAAGCACATCTTTTTTATATTTGCGCTAATTAGTTTCAATTAAAATTAACGACGCCTACGATCTGCAGAGTGCTTGAACGCCTTGTGCACCCATCGATTTCACACGAAACCAAACCAAAAGATACCAAGATACAACAAAATCTTTCCTTTGTATTCCTTTTGCTTTTTTTGTTTTTTGTTTTTTTACACTTTTTGACCTCAATATAATAGGCAAGCAGCAGCAGGCACCAATTGGGTGCTTTCATTGGATCGGTTCGTTCTTTAAATTTCAATTTTAATTTCGGAGCGGAATGATGTCATTCCTTCCTTCAATGGGTTGATTTTCTAGCGGATACATCTGCTGGTTGCACAGATACGATGGCGGTTATATTGCTGGGTTCTAGTAAAACTCTCATTCACTGCTCAGGTGATTTGTTTCATTCAGTAGAACCGAAAATGATTTCCGAGAAGTGTACGCGCGACCACAAGTGACATTTTTATGATGTCTGAATGTATCTTAAATTCATTCATGCTTTGAAACTGTTTGTTCGTTTGTTGTTTGGGAGGTTCATTTTTTTGCGTTCATTTAATGTGAAACAAGATACAAAGTGGCCGCTCGCAATTAAGTGTACAAAAAGGAAGTTGTCAACTTGTTGGCCTTTTCCGCTCTCGGACATGGCTCTAACGTGAAGCAGGAGGAGGGAGGGGGCACTCGGTAAGAGGAATGGGAATGCATTCCAGCGATAAGAACGATTGTCTCCGATAAGATATCCATCGAAAGGCAGCCCAAGAAAATTGCTTCAATTAAATATTTAGCCTTTCGTATCTGTGTAGCCATAAAATGTGTGATATTTGTATCTACAGCCAGAAGGCAGGCGTGCACAGGTAGATAGACAGACAGATAGATACATTTGTATCTCAGGCTGATGTACCTGCTATTTTTAAACATTTTACAGGCGGATTCATCAAAAAAACAAACAAGAGTGCAGACAGGCAGCAATTGTATCTGTATCTAGGGGGATACGATTTTCCACTCCTTTTTGACCGATCTTCAATAGTCAAAAACTCTTGTGTTGTGTGTTGCTTATGCAATGATGTTGCAACAGCAACAGCAGTCGCAGTCGCAGTCGCTGTGGATGTGGGATGCCACACAGTCAAAGCATAATTTGCCGACGACTTACTTCTCTTCTGTTCTTCTGTTTTGGGTTCTCCATCATCTTCTACTCTTCATTGTTTGTCCATGTCTTTTGTGCCGCGTAATCGTTGTTTTCCAATGAACACACACTCGAAAGATGCACAGATACAGATACAGATACACAGGTATGGTATGGCGTATGGAGTGCTTTCTGAGATACAAACGTCGCCGTGGATTCTTTCGTTTTTGTGTTGTTCTTTTTTCTCTTTTTTTTTTTTGATTCATGGATGCCAGAGTTCTTTCGTTTTTCGTTTTTCTTTCGGTTTGTGGATTGTTATGTTCACGGAAAAAAGGTAAAGGTTAATGCCTAGTGAAGTGTGCACAGAATGGGGGCAAAATGTGGGGTCGGGGGGGCACACACAGAGCACACAGCATACATAAGATACAGATACATAGATACATAGCTAAATAGTTCGGGCATTTCCGCTTCGAGTGGCGTTAGTTATGGATCTGGAGTGTAATGAGGATCCACGAACAGAAAAGGTGATTTAACTATGGGAATTATGGGGTTTTTTTGTTTTGTTTGCGCTTGGAATTATTTTTAGAACAAGAAGGTTTATTTTTAGTACTTACTGAGTAGAGATTATCCAACTATCTATTTATCTGGGTAGATACGAAGATCTTAGGGTGCATTTTATATCGTTAATATATATATATTATAGCCTAAAGTTCATTAGACATTTTAGAATCATAAAACAACTGGTAGATACATTTTAATCTTTCTACTTTTCACCCTTTAGATACTAGTTAGAGTTAGGTTTCCACTTGTACGGTGTATGTATCTTATCCACTTATCAGCTGCACTAGCTAAATATTTATCCAATTACTGCAAGATATAGCTATAGCTACTCCACTCCTCCCGTCGCGCAGCCCCTTTCTTGCGGAGTATCCACAGTTTTTAAATCAACAAAACTTCTCGTATTTACATGCCGCAATGGAGGTCGGTCTGCAGTCGAGGAGGCATAAATCAATTATTTGCACCTAAAGCTCATAAATCACTTTATGACGAGCACAAACATTGAAATGGTCAGAAAGGAGATACAATATCTATAGATAGAGAGGGTCAGGGTGGGAGACATGAAACAGAATGAAAAGCCTTCCATCTTGCAGCCAAAAGGCGAGCAAATTGGCTTTTGCTGCCTTTTTTATCGTTTTTTTTTTTTTTTGTGTTCTCCTTTTTTCTGTTAAATGCCATGAAAGCCGGGCTAATACGAGTATGGCGTTGGCGGGGGTCTTGTCTTGTTATCGTAACAACAACAACAGCAACAATAAATATCTATATATATATGTATGTACATTGTACATATATCTAGATTCATGTGTGTGAATGATTTCTTTTGTTGTTTAGGAGCTGAGTTTGGAGCAAAAAATAAAATGACCAAAAGGCACTTTGATTTCTTCTTCTGTTTGGTTTATTTTTGTTTTGTTTTTTGGATTTGACTAAGCTGTTTGCTTTGTATACCCTTCCAGAGTGTATTTATGCTTCGTAGACTGCTCTATAAAATTTGCGTATATTTTCGAGACAACTCTGCAAAACATTTCACATATTTACATAGAATTCTACTTTGAGTTGAATTCTACTCGATCTGGTTACAGGGGTGCTGTATCTTAATTTCTCTCCCACTCGCCTTCTCCTTAGCAGGTGCAAGTGGGGCTCTGTGGAATGGAGAGGGACAGAAAGAGTAGCCAAAACCATCGATGATCTCCTCTTAAGAGATAGCTGGGGAATATCCAATGGGCGATAAAATTACGAAGAGTAATAGGAGTAGAAAGAGAGTATTGTGGGAAAGTATCGTGGACTGCTAATAGAAAACAAAAGAGGAAATTGCTAAGGGCATTAAATTATTCGACACCCCGAAACCAGAGACTTTCCTTCTTGTTATTGTATTTCTGCGTGTGTTGCCTTTATTTTTTTTTTGTGTATTTGCCTTTGACTTCCATTACTTTACGCTCTCGTTCAGGCGGTGGTTCCTCCATTTGTCCGGTTCTTTATTCGTGTTTCTATTTTTGTTTTTGTTGCTGTTTTTGTATACGATTTATTCGGTTTATTGACTTTGAGCTTTTGGATTTTTGTCCAGTTTTAAGTTGTGTTTTTTTTTTGGCACACAAAGCACAAAAGCTAACAAACGAAGAAGTAAATGCAAACAGCAACAACAACAACAGCAATAAAAAGTGTTTAATGTGAGTAAGGAATAAGAAACGAATTCGAGGATTTGGCATCACTCAAAACGATAATTTCAATCATGATTGTTCCCAGAAAAACCAAAATGGAAATGTCATTCGAACTTTAGAATAAACTCCCGCTTTTGAATGGATTTCTGTGGATTTCTGTGATGTTTTTTTTCGAGGCCTTACGCAGAAAAATGAACTTTAAGGTTTTCCGGTTCCATTCATGTTTCTGTGTAGCTCTCAAGCTCCAACAGAAATACAAGAAAAGTAACCCTAAGCAAATGTAGGGTCTATAATTCCCTGCACACTACTGTACACTTACCATAAATGCCCCCATACTTACTTGCTAATTAACTAATTCCTCGTATCTATTTGCTTCTCTTCCATTTGCAGGTGTGTATTCAAAGAAAGAAAATAAACGCAACAATGGAGGGCTGCTATCTGTCCATCTATCGTATCTCCTATATGTTTATATTTGTTGTGCACACAGCCAGATATCGTGTGTCTGGTATCTGGTGAGGGGGTAAGTTCTAGGTCGATCGAGACAGCATGGCTATGCAATGTGCGCTGCGCGGACGAGCCGCACTATGAATTATAATATCGCGGTTTTGTGGGGCTAACCTTAGAGATCATCAATCATTTAGAGACAAAGGCAGAAATGCCACCAAAAAAGCGAATCCCCCCTACGCCACACAAAAATATGAATATAAATGTGAGCACATCGGCGGGGGTTTTAACAGTAGGAAAAATTTAATAATACGAAAAAAACTTGCGAAGGGGAGCGACCGACTGCTGTCTGCAACCCGATGCCCTGCCCTGCCCTGCCCCCCACCATGTCAGCAGAACAGCAGAACGAGCAGCCATTCACTTTTCATTATTATACAAACATATAACTTTCGGTTAAAATTATGCTAATCCGTTGAAATATGATTATGCCAAAAACAAAAAGAAACACACAGTGGAATGACAACAGCGTGACGGTGGGCGGATAGAGGCGTGGCCACACACACACACACACACATGGGTGTCGACAGCGGCAGGTGTGCCCCCAAAAAAACCATAAAAAGGAGATTCGGTTCAGAGTTTCGGTTCCTGGTTTTTCTCTCTGCACATAATTTGATTGCTAATTTCGTTGACTGGGAAACAGAGGCAGTGGGGCACTCTTCTCTAATTAAATACATGACAGAAATTTTCATATTAAATCATTTTCCATTTCCCTGTAGAATGTGCCAAGGGGGTGGAGGGAGGTGTGCTTGAAATGAAACTTTTTCAATTAAAGCCAAATGCTTCTGGTGGATGTGGAGGAGCGGGTGCTAGAGAGGAATGGAATCCTCCGACCTTCAAAGCGAACAGATTTTGGAAAATGAAATTGCTGGCGAAAAAGTAATTTAATTAGGTTTTAAACCAAAAAAAAAAAAAAAAAAAAAGAAATAAACAAACCAAAAAACTGAACTGAACCAAATAGAAGTGCTGGCTGTCCTTTGCAGTGTTTCGATACCCTGTAAGGAGCGGGCATTATCCATTTAGCAGGGAGTATGCAGCAAGCGATGGGAATGGTCATCAATATCCAAATTATCGTAGAGAGAAAACGGAATGTTCTCTGACTTCAATTACAGGGTATACACTCTAGTCGTAGCACAAGTGTGCCATCATTTCGTGCCAAATTGCAATTGGCATACCATTGCCAGACTGCAGAATAAATGAAAGTAACCCTTCCTTTTGGGATGCCACCTCCTCTTTCTCCTCTTTCTCGTCCTTCTACTCCTTCCCCTCGGTCGTTGTCGCTGTCCTCGTTCTTTGTCGCGTGTTTTTGGCTGTGAAACTTTTATATCTTTCTGACGCGCGGTGCCAGTCGCCAGAAACAAAACAGACCCTGCCCCTGCCCCTGCCCATGCCCCTTTCCCCACCCTCTGCAGATACCTCAAAAAGATAGACGAAAGACTTGGCCTAAAAGGCTATCCAAATTGGAACTGGAAGTGGAGGGCAGAATCGCTGGATTTTGGGCCAAGTGTTTGACTTCCGCCATTTGCTGGCTCTTTTTTTTTGGTCTCCAAATGAATTTTTCATCATTGAAAATTTCAAGGAACTCTGCGACTTTTCCGTCTATGTTTGGGGATTGGAAGACGTCTCTCATTTTTATATGTAACACATTTCTCTCTCGGCCACCCGTTGGATCTAAATTTTCCGCTGAAGGATGTCAACGCGTCATCTGTGGTTCGGCGCCCGCCTCTGTGGACATTCCACGGCCCTCTGGTTGCGTCCGAGGCACCAACAGGTGATTTTTGCAGCCATGAGCTCCTCCAAGGGCGGGAGAGCTCCGCCATCCGCGGCAGACCGGATAGGGGCAAACAAAAGTAAGCGAAAATCGAAGAGAACTGCGGCCACCTCGAGTGGAGGTGAACCGCCCAAGGTTCAGTCTCCGCCTGGAAGGAAGACCCGCAAGAGGATTCGTCGGAAGACGCTCGAACTGTGTCCGATTACACCGCCCAGGAGGTGCCTCGTGAGCTGGCCAAACGTGGGGTTTCTGGTGCCATTTCAGAGCCACTTTGGTGGAGCGGCAGCGTACTTCTCGAAACAATCGGCAGGGGGAGGTGAAGAGGTCCCCCCTCCTTCGGATGATCCGCCGACGGGACCAAGGAGAGGATCCATAGCAAGGGGATTCCCGGTGACTCCGGGCGTACAGATGGACGCCAGACCGGCGAAAACAGCTCCACGATTCGCACCCTCTGGACTGCCGTCTATGCCATCGATTGAGCCTGAATCGCCTGTGGAGACGCCAGCCGAAACATCAGAGGAAGGACCTTCCGAGTCAGCGTCTAACCCTGAGAGGACTGATCCGGAAGCACCTGCAGAGCAGTCTACTGAAGCTCCAGAGACAGGAGATGCCCAGACGCCAGCCAGAGATCCTCCTACTCCTCCTGCTGCAGAAGCTGCCGCCGAAACGCCTGCAGATCCGCCCACTGATTCCCCTGCAGGCTTCGAAGGCGACATATCCCAAGAATTAAGAAAAGCAGTGGAGGAGTCAAGTGATGAAGAATTGCCAGGAGCGGAGTCAACGCGAAAAGAAGGTAATGACAGAAGTCCAGGAGCCAGAGAAAGTGCAGGACCGCCGAAAAGTGCTCCTCCTTTGCCAGCCGCTAAACCACCATCTCAACCATTGACTGCCCCTCCTGTGGCAGCTTCAAAAGCAGCTCCAAAAGCAGCCTCAAAAGCAGTTCCAAAAGCAGTTTCAAAAGCAGCTCCAAAAGCAGCTCCAAAAGCAGCTCCAGGGGCGGCACCTACTCCAGCTGTGGCTCCTGTGGCTCCCACTCCCACCCCTGTTCCCACGCCCAAAGCACCGCCACTGGCAAGAGGAGCTTCAAAAGTGAAACCACCAAAGGGAACGCGAGGATACACCTCACCGCCGAAGAAACCGAGTTTTTTTGGTCCACCTGAGAAGCCTCCAAAAGGTCCTTTATTCCCACCAAAAAGAGGACCAGCTAAACCAGCGGATAAGTCCGCTCCTGCATCCAAAACCGAACCGCCGCCATGTAAGCCAGCAACCAAAAAACCAACGGGCAAGGGTACGTCTCCTCCTGCTGCACCAGCGAAAGCTGCACCAGCAGCCGCTGCTCCGAAAAAGGAAGTAAAGGCGGCAGGACCGCTGCAGCCGCCTGCCAAGCCACCACCCACTGGAAGCCCTGGCAAGCCACCAGCCGCAGGACCTCCAAAGAAGCCCAGCGCCATAGCGCCAACAGGTGGAACAGGAAGCGGCAAAGGAGGATCTAAGAAGGGCGGAGGCAATGGCGGCACTAAGACTCCTCCTCCGCCATCGGGAAAGGGCTCCAGCGGGCCACGCCTCATCACGCTGATGCCTGGCGATGGAATCGGGCCGGAAATCTCGATGGCCGTCCTGGAAGTACTCGATGCGGTGAAGGCGCCCCTGATCTTTGAGCCCGTGGACGTGACGCCGGTGATAAACAGCAAGGGACAGACGACGATACCCGATGCGGTGATTGAGAGCATGAACCGCACCAAGGTGGGTCTCAAGGGACCCCTGATGACGCCCGTGGGCACGGGTTTCCGCTCGCTGAACCTCACCCTGCGGCAGCTGTTCAATCTGTACGCGAACGTCCGGCCGTGCAAGTCGCTGCCCGGCGTGGAGACGGTCTACGGGGATGTGGATGTGGTGACCATTCGGGAGAACACCGAGGGGGAGTACTCGGGGCTGGAGCACACCCTCGTCAATGGGGTGGTGCAGAGCATCAAGCTGATCACGCGGGACGCCTCCATGCGGGTGGCCGACTACTGCTTCAAGTACGCGATCGCGATGAAGCGGAAGAAGATCACGGCCGTCCACGAGGTGAACAACATGCGGATGTCCGACGGACTGTTCATCCGCTGCATGCGGGAGACGGCCAAGAAGTACGAGAAGGAGATGACCGCGGGGGGCGTCAAGTACGAGGAGGTGACCCTCAAGACCGTCTGCCTCAAGATCGTCGAGGATCCCAAGAAATTCGATGTCCTCATCCTGCCGAATCTCTACGGCGACATCATCTCCGACACCTGTGCCGGTCTCATCGGTGGACTGGGTCTGACCCCGTCCGGCAATATTGGCACCTCTGGCGCCATCTTTGAGTCCGTCCATGGCACGGCACCGGACATTGCCGGCAAGGATCTGGCCAATCCCACGGCCCTGCTGCTCTCCACGGTGATGCTGCTGCACTACGTGGACCTGCACACGCATGCGGATGCCATCGAGAAGGCGATTGTGAAGACCATCAAGGACGACAATGTCAGGACCATCGATCTGGGGGGCACGGCCAAGTGCTCGGAGTACACCAAGGCGTTGATCAAGAATCTCAAGTAGCCGTGTAGATCCTACCTAGCTTACTTCCAAATCCTCCCTACACAGTTTGCGAAATTTAATTAAAATTATTAAATGAAAGGGGAGAGGAGAGCATTCTTTAGTTGGGGATAAACCCCGCCACAGCCAGCATACACCACACTTGCCAGTGGTCATACGCATCCTTGTGACCCCATTCATGCAACACGCAGCATGCAGCATGAAGTAAACCAAACATCACAGAACAAGACCGACCAGAGAGAAAAAGAGAATGCGAGAGAGAGAGAGAGCAAACCCCAGAAGAGAGACCACACATCCACGATGTCTGCTGCCACACACCACTCCCTGTGGCAGCTTCAACTAAATTCCCATCCAATCGAGCCAGTGCCAGCCATCCAGTCTAACAGCCAGAACCAGAACCCAGAACCCAGAATCCACAACCAGTGCTAGTGCCAGTGCCAGTGCCAGTGCCAGTACCAGACCCAGAGCCAAAGTCAAAGTCAGAGAATCCCAGAGTCAGTCAGTCTCTGAGAGCAGTAGGAAGGGCTCTCTGTCCCCCGCTCTCCTCCCCACCCCTGCTGCAAGTTACGTTGCATTTTTACATGCATGCTCAGAGTCCGGTCTGCAGTCCAGAACCACCGCACACTCCAAAACTCAAACTCAAACTCTGGGACGCTGGGAGTCTGGGACTGCGTTTCAAAGCCACGAACCGACTCCTAAACAAACCAAAAACAAGTCGGAACAAGTTAGAGTTCCCGTACTTCGACTAGCAGATACCCCTTAGTCGGATTAGCAAGCAGAAAATAAGCAAAAGGGAAAAATAATCTAAATTTCTATGCAGATTTTGCAACTTAATATTAAAATATTTTATTTTTAATTTGTTTACATTTAGAAATAATACTTAGTGCTGCATCAAACTGCCAAGTCTGAGAGCTATTTATTCACAGCTGCGTTCTCCACATTGTTTTGAGATTTTTAATTAGTTTCCGTTGGTTTTTAATTATGTATTTTGGGATATTTAATAATAACTACTTGGAAATCTTTCAAGTTAAAATAAGGAACCCCTACCACCGGTATACGCTACCAATTACAGGGTAGTATCAGTGCTGTGCAGGGGCGGCGGCGCTCCTTCGTTCTGTCGTGGCTGCTGCTGCTGGCTGCTGGCTGCTGCTGCTGCTCAGTGGAGCGTGCGAGCGAGCGAGTGAAAAGAGTGTAAAGGTAGAAGAAAATGCCACAGAATCAGCCAAAGAGTCAAAGAATATAAAAATTAAAGAAAAAAGAGCACGAGAAAAAAAACATTGAATTTTGTGTGTGTGTGTAAGAGAGACAACACGAGAGCGCCCTGTGTGTGTGTGTGTGTGTGTTGTGTGTGTGTGAATGCATTTCAAAGAATTTTGATAAAAGGCAGGCCACTGCGAAGGCGAGCAAGCAACGTCGAGGAGGTGATGGTGGTCGCGGGGGGGAAGGGAGTGGGGTAGGGCCGCTGCCCGAAGATAAACTTCGTTTTTTTTTTTATTTCTTGTGTATGTGAAACAAAAGTCAGGAATTTTTGTTGTAAACCGGTTTTCAGTTTCATTTTATCTCCCCCCTGCCGCTGCCCATCCTCTCCACCACTCTTTATTGCAAAAAAAAACACAACTTGTGAAGCTGACACCCCATGCAAAAGCAACACAGATGGGGTGAACAGCGATGAGGGGGAAACAGGCTAAAGGGAGCAAAGTAATAGGAGAGACAAAGAACAACAAGAGACAGAGGTACTCCCCGAAAAGTAGATCAACCTTCGAAGGAGCAGCCACAGCAGTGGCAGTGGCAGCGGCAGTGGCAGCGGCCTAGTTGTCGCCGCCATCCCATCCAGTGACTTCCAATTCCATTCATAAGTCCGGAATTCCACCACCCCCGCCCCCGCCCCCGCCCCCGCCACGGCAATTGGCCAAAACACGCAAAGGCCAAGTGGTGGCACTTTTTCCAGCGAATTGTGTGGCACAATTATTGCAGCAGCAGCAGCAGGGGCAACGGTTTCGGTTGAGGCGGCGCCATAATTGCAGCATGCCCCATGCTGCAGGCAGTCAAAGGGTGCGCACAGACACTGGGGTGTGGGCACTCATTAGAATGATAATTTGTAAATGCAATTCTCTCTCTGTTCTGTCTATTCTGTCTCTGCCTGTCTGTGTGTGCCCTTCCTTTTAATTTCTGTTTTTCAGTGGAAATTACGAAATCCGAGTCCCACAGAATGGAATGGAATATGTTTCAAATACTATTCTAATAGACAATGTAAACACAGATGGAAATACTTGGCACAAAGATGAGATGAGATCACTGCGAATCACTCGCTTGGGTTGGTTTCGTTTGGTTTGGTTTCGTTTGGTTTGGTCATTTCCCTAACCAAAATAGATCAATTATAGAATAGAAATACTTGGTAATGAAAATTCGCAGTAAAATTCGCCCAAAATAGTAGCCAAAATGCAATGCAGAATGCTGGGAAGAAATCAATTGGAAATAATTTATTTTTGTGTTTTAAACAAAACTCGTGCCGCCGCATGATAACAATTTTTTTGGAGCACTTATTATGAATAGATTACACACGGAATCTAGCGAAAAGTAAAATTGTTGGACTTGTGGTTCGACTATTTATAGTTTGCCGTATCTATCGTATCTGACGGTGATATATTTCTATTTGCTTGGCGGTACTTTCCCTTTCTGAGCGATCAAAATCACTCGTCCATGACCCTTGCTCGGGGTTTTGAAATGGGGCTTAAGTTTAACCCTCCTCTAATCGGAGCACAACTTGAAAACTGATTTCCCATGCTTGTAGCACACACATTTTCACGCCTTACCCCGCCCTCTAGTCCTTCAGTGCTTCAGTGCTTGGCCCTCTGACATGGGTTTGCCAGGCAGGGAGGGACTTTTACAAAGATTTACGACCGCTGTCAATAGAGCTTTGCATTCACACAGCCACATCTACATCTACAGCCAAAAGACCCTCCAGCCCCCTGCTGCCATTGCGTAGAACAACAACAGTAACAGAAAGTATTTTCAAATTTAAATCTATTTGTCACTTGCAAAACTTTTGGCTACCTTTTTGTCCCCCGCCCACCGGCAAACACTCACACACATACACTCCGTTTGTCCTACTCCAGGCCGGACTCTAAGGGCCGTATGCAAAAAAAAAAAGGTAATGCAAAGTGACAGTTACAAATTTGTGCCGAAATCAGCCACGGGAAATGTGTTGTGTGGGGAAAGGGAAATGGATCGGCAGAGAACCGAAATGTTCCATTTAAATGAGTTGGATTGGCTATTTAGAGGTGTAGCAGGTCGCCGCATCCGCATCCGCATCCATTCAAGCAACCAACCATTCATCTCCCCCAGCTCTATCCTTGTGTCCCACTCAACCGACCATCCTCCATTTCAACAAGCACTTTCAGTAATGTCCGCCGTTCTGATGTGGGTTGGTAAGCATCCCCGAATATCCTACAGCTAAAGCTAAACACTCCATTGCAGAAGGAAGAAGTAGAAGTTGGACTGGACCATGCCGATGCCCTGTACTTTTTTTGAATGATTCAGCATTGGCTTACAACATGTTCAGGGTAAAGACTGTGTAGAAAACACTGAAAGTTCAGCAAGGGTTCAGTGTTTTGTTGAATATAGTAATCATATCACATCCTATATACCCTCCATAACAAATGATGGCTGGGTATCCAATGGTGGGTCCAAGAGGCACAATGACGAAAACAGTAGGAGCAAAAAAAAATGATTTGCATTTATTTATCTCTGTAGCTCTTCATCGTTCTACTGCTTCGAGTACCCCCGTCATCTTGTGACTCCTCTTTATCCACCAATGTTTCATCCCTCTTATTCCTGCTCATCCCCATCCCCATCCCCATCCTGCCCTGCCCTGCACTGTTCTCTGTTTGAATTTGTTATTATTCTCACACTTTTACTGTGGGGGAGGGATGGGCGGTCTTCCTTTATTGTTTTCTCAAACCATTCCGTTATTCCACTCCATTCGACTTGGTTCCATGAGCAAGGGGGAAGGTGGGGGGGAGTCTCTATGCAAACACAAATTTCTATGCTTTTGCGAATGATAAAAATAATCCCATTTATTGTTTAATGCTTAATAAATAAAGCAATTTTTATTTATTTGCCACAGTATTTTTGTTGCCTTGCTCTCCCCTCCTCTCCCCTCCTCACCACTCCTCTCTTCTACTTTTCTGTGTGTTTCTTTTGCTGTTGTGTGTGGGTGTGCTCTATTGATTTCCCTGCTGTTTTGTGGTTCTTGCTATCGTAAGTAAAATATCATCAATTGTTTATTGTTTTGATAATGCGTTTTGTTGTTGTTTCTTTATTGTTTGTAGTACTTTTATTTCCCGATATTATGATTGTTCCTCTTGCGGTTGGTTGGCTGGCTGGCTGGCTGGCTGGGTCATGGGTGCCAGGCCATCGATAAGGCAGACGTTGACGTGATGGTTAGCAAAACGATGGTTAATTATGGTTCCCATTGAACAGAGGGTCTTAGGGCGAATGGTTTGGGAATTATTGAGCGATTAGAGCAGTCTCTAATTGAGTGATTTCTCTAAAGGTTAAACGATAGTCGAGGGTGTGGTAATTGGTAATGGGCATAAAGGGGAGAGGCACTAAATGAATACTTAGATGTAGCAGCACACTGTTCCATAAAACAAGTTAAAGTTGATTTATTTTTAGTTAAATTTAACTAAAATTTCTCTTTGGTTGCTATATCTTTCTTGGAACTTTGGCACTTTCATCAAACTTACCTTTTAGTGTTAGTTTTTCTTTGGCCTCAACTTTATGTTCGCTTTGCCAGGCAACCCCATAAAACCCATTTGTAACGAGCATAGTTCATCTTCAGTTAACCTTTGGCTTAACTTTGGTTAAAGTTGAGTTTTAGTTCCCCTTTTAAGCCATTTTTTGCTTGGTCTATGCTCCCCTTTGGTTGGGCACTCTTATACAATCTTTTTTTACCTTTAATGGAGTCTCTGCTGCTTTCTTGTCTCACTTTGTAAGGTACTCGTATTCCCCATTTGCCTGCACTCTTCTTTTGGCCTAGTTATTCGGCTTCGAGTGGAAATTCAGTTTCGCCCAAGGGCTTAAAGCCCACAAGCC